TATATATATATATATATATATATATATATGAGATGAGGACATGACTGCAGTCTGGCAATGAGGCCCAAACCAGCACATCCACTGCAAGAAGTCTTCGCCTTTTTAATTTTACTTAACATTATTTTATTTATCCATTATACTGAAGAAACCTTTTTGAAAGATATTGTTTTTTGTTTGTTTTTATGTAATTGAGGTGTTGTTTTATTTTGGTTTTAGAAAATAAACGTGATTGCTCACCTCACAAATCAACTCCTTGTTTTTGTTTCATGCTCTCTGTGCATTGGCCTGGACTTTTATATCACTTCCCGTCTCCCGTGGTGTTTGTAGTCAGTTTGTTCATTGGTTCCCCTTGATTAGTCTCCCAGGTGTGTCTTGTTAAGCTTGTTAGCCCCCTGTGTGTATATAGCCCTAGTTTTTCTTTAGTTCCTTGTGAGTTGTTGAATGTAATCGTTGTCTGTTTGCCAGTCATTCTGTTCTTTGTTCCCTTTGGTTTTTGCCTTTGTTTGTTCTAGTTTTTCCAAGAAAAACCAGCACATAGATCCTTGCCTCTGCCTGTTTTCCGCAGCTTCTCCACAATGTTACAGTTTTTCACTGGCACGTCTCTTTGACTAGTGCATCTTTGAGCCTATATTTAGTATAAGTAAAATACTTAAGTACTGTTAAAATCAGCGGCGGCAACAACAATACTACAGCGAGAATAAAAGTTACGCCTTTTCTTTGCGTAAAGATTTAGCCGGCGTTATGCAAATCCGTGTTAGAACGAGCCATTTTAGGTAGGTGTGGCTAACTCTTAACTTTTATAAAGAATATCTCTTTGGATTTGAGACTTTACTCTTTGCAACTTTACAGATCTTCTTTATGCACCAAGAGCTTGTAACACTCCAAAGAGAAAGGAAAAATTGAAATCGCATCATATGACCCCTTTAAAGGTGGTGGCAGCATAGGTGTAAATCCGCAATAAGGAAGCTCAGCAGGGGCCCCTAGTGGTGGCTGAACTTATTACAATAATAACTATGTAACACTTTGACTCGGATAACTAGTTAAATCCATGAAATGAAAGAGATTGAAAACGAAGAGTTGGTGTCCCAAACATTTAATGGCTGGTACACGGCAACGCGCTCCTCTCATACATGAGATTAACTCTTTCTTGGCATTATAAATAAAAGTAAAGACAAAGTAATAACTAGAAGGCAGAGCGAACTTATCATCCATAGTGGTTCTCATTACACAGTCACGTAGTCCTTCTACGTCATCACCACATAGTGATCAGTCTCTTAAAGTGCACACCGCACTATAATGTGATGCATGCAAAAACATAGTTTTGGCCGTTACAACCATAGACATAAATACCTAGACACCTCATTGGCCGCTTTTGAGCCGTTGCTGCGATACGTCAACGCGTCCGCCATGTTTGTGAAGGCAAGACTGCCTTCAAAATAAATGGAGGTAAACAGGGGAGCTGCGGTTTTTCTGGATAAAAACACGATAACGTTTGGCAGCATAGGTGTAAATCCGCAATAAGGAAGCTCAGCAGGGGCCCCTAGTGGTGGCTGAACTTATTACAATAATAACTATGTAACACTTTGACTCGGATAACTAGTTAAATCCATGAAATGAAAGAGATTGAAAACGAAGAGTTGGTGTCCCAAACATTTAATGGCTGGTACACGGCAACGCGCTCCTCTCATACATGAGATTAACTCTTTCTTGGCATTATAAATAAAAGTAAAGACAAAGTAATAACTAGAAGGCAGAGCGAACTTATCATCCATAGTGGTTCTCATTACACAGTCACGTAGTCCTTCTACGTCATCACCACATAGTGATCAGTCTCTTAAAGTGCACACCGCACTATAATGTGATGCATGCAAAAACATAGTTTTGGCCGTTACAACCATAGACATAAATACCTAGACACCTCATTGGCCGCTTTTGAGCCGTTGCTGCGATACGTCAACGCGTCCGCCATGTTTGTGAAGGCAAGACTGCCTTCAAAATAAATGGAGGTAAACAGGGGAGCTGCGGTTTTTCTGGATAAAAACACGATAACGTTTACATTTATCAACTGATTTCAAAGGTTTGTGATCTACATGGAGTTAAAAATAACTCTGCCTCCAGTTATTTAGTTAGGTTTGGAAAATTATTAATTTTCCTGACAGTCTGGCATTGTCTTGTCAAAGTGCTCACTGTACATATTGTGCTCATAACACAATTACTTTATGATATAAACTACAATAAAGTTAAAACTTAAGAATTAATTTAAACTTTGATTTCATATAAAGTCGCTAGCGATATCGCGAGCTATTAATAGTCTGACACTGGTGGCTAATTAAGCGGTCAACATAAAGCTAAAAATGACCAACAAACATACAGAAACAACAGTTCAGTCTTACCTGTGAAAGATAATACCCCGAGATCTGTTTTTATTATTGTGCGATGGTTTGTAGATGCCCAAGCTACCGACGAGTCAGGTATGTTCCCTTTCATGGGAACTTCGAACTGCGTCCTCTAGGGGTCGCTATGGGGAACGCCTCGTCGTGACCCGTGTCTGAAGCATACATTGAAAAAACACCAACTCGTTGGCTGGCGACAGCCATGACGCCACTACCGGCACGACTATCGTATAAATAGGCGCCGGGAGCACACATCATTCTCTTCTTCATCTTCACTGACTGTTCTGTTTGAAGCGTGCATTTCCAAGGAAAAAGTAAGAGCTATTTCTATTCATTATGGCGAGCACTAGCAGAGCGTTTAGAAGGTGTGTGCATCAGTGTCGTCGCTATTTGACACCCGATGACTCACACGATCTAGACGCCAGCCAGCTATCTCTCTTTGGGCGAGACATCATCTCTAAAAACTCCCTCCTTGCCATCCCTGCCCCTTCAGACTACATCTCGCTTGAATGGCAGGGCATACGCAGCAGCAGGTCAGGCGGTTGCGTCGTTGCACACGATGGCGGTGCTCCAGGCATACCAGGCTGACCTACTGAAAGACCTGGATAAAGGCGAGGGCCTTTCTTCTGATGAGATGGCTGAGTTACGCCGCACCACGGATCTTGCTCTTCGTGCTACTAAGCAGGCTGCCTCTGCCATGGGCAGATCTATGGCGGCGATGGTAGTAACGGAGAGACATCCGTGGGTAAGCCTGGCAGACATCGGGAAGAAAGAAAGGGGCTTTCTCGATGCCCCGGTTTCGCCCTCTGAACTTTTTGGTACCTCCGTTGAGATGGTGGTCGAGAAGTTCAGGGAGGCGAAGGCGTGCTCAGCGGCCTTCAAAACCTTCATTCCAGGTCTGAGCCCGAACAACCCAGGGGTCCTGGCCCGTCTCGGTTTGAGGATCGGAGACGAGCACAGAAGGCTAGTGTCGCGACTCGCGCTCCTCCTCCGCCTGCGGGTAGGAAGTATCGTGGGTCAAAGGGAGGTAGGCAAGACCTGAGGGATGTGATCCAGACAAAGCGTCAGCGCTTTCGTCCGGATCAGAGTAATACTTAGGTATCCACTCTTTCCCTCAGGGGGTGTAACATCTACCCTTTTCTTCCCATTTCTAATTCCCCTGTAACCACCATCTCTCCACCTGACCTAGGTTAGGTGGAAGCTTCCTGCAAAACAGTCTCCTACTGGACCTATTATGTTTTTGGTTGGTTCTATGCTAAATCATAGTAACCACCTTACTGATGGTCCGGTCTAGAGGCTTCTCCGGACAGAGCTCCGACGCGGGAACCATGGTGGACGAGTACGATCCATGTAACTAATACATACAACTAATGAGACTGGTGGTTGTGTGTATAACCTTCTGCTACTTTCTTTGCAGTGTTTCCCGGGACCTGTGTGTTTCTGTCCCTTTCTAAGATAGGTCCTCGATGAGGCCCCCTCTGCCGGGTTCAGAAACCGGGTGCTTGACTTGCAGTGTGTATTTCACTCGTCGATATATGTCCAGACGGTAAGAAAAGCCGGGTTTCAGCTTCGTACTTCCTTGATCATGCGGCCGTACACGGGCTTCTGCGGGAGCCTTCGTGATCATAAATCATAGTAACCACCTTACTGATGGTCCGGTCTAGAGGCTTCTCCGGACAGAGCTCCGACGCGGGAACCATGGTGGACGAGTACGATCCATGTAACTAATACATACAACTAATGAGACTGGTGGTTGTGTGTATAACCTTCTGCTACTTTCTTTGCAGTGTTTCCCGGGACCTGTGTGTTTCTGTCCCTTTCTAAGATAGGTCCTCGATGAGGCCCCCTCTGCCGGGTTCAGAAACCGGGTGCTTGACTTGCAGTGTGTATTTCACTCGTCGATATATGTCCAGACGGTAAGAAAAGCCGGGTTTCAGCTTCGTACTTCCTTGATCATGCGGCCGTACACGGGCTTCTGCGGGAGCCTTCGTGATCATCAGGCCCCCGGCGCGTCACTGCAAGGAATTTCCTGGACGTCCGGGCTGGGTTTACGCTTTCTTGCTACCCAGATATGGTAGACCAGTCAGGGGAGCCTGAGTGTTTGGCTAGCGTGCAGTACACCCTTCTGATTTTACAATCACGCTGTAGGTCGAGCCCCCTCTCGTTGAGAGCTGGGTTTGTGCTCCCTCAGCCAAAGTAAACTAC